TCTTGAGCTTCTGATCCTTCATGAGGTGATTTATTTATTTTAAAACAGAAACCTGGGGATCTAGGCATGGCCTGATGGCTACAGCCATTATGACTATTAAGTGAACATGTGACCAACACGGCTGCAAGTTTGTACCTGTGATTACAGGGAGAAACAGCTGCTTTTGTCATCCTCCTTCCCTGCCCGTTTTGTGGATGATTTCCCATCAGATGTCTGCAATGCAGATGGTTGAATTATGCAAGGGAATCTGCAGCTGTTGTAGTTTATGCTCTCCTACACTGGTGAGAACTGTAAGCTGCCTCATGTCATACCTTAGAGCTACTCTTAAGCGTGATGCATAAGAGATCTTTGCATGTTAAAGACTTCCATGGCAAATGAGGATATATTTGTGTTCTCACATAAGTGATAAGATGGCTGGGACTTGTGTGTATCCTTGCCCTGGCTCCAAGGATTTTGTCTCCCCTCCATGTGCGTACTCTTGTTTTTATACGTATAGGTGTATGTTCAGAGTTAACAGGGCACGCGTAAGGGCTGGCTATTCCGCTGTGTTGAGAGGACACTGCTCCTCTGGGATTAGGAATGGAGAAGCCAAAGGTATATCCACAGATGTTAAATGTTTAGAGAACAAAGGTGCATCTGAATTTTTTGAGATTTTTTTTTTCTTGAAGTTGTCCCTTAATGTTCTATGAGTGTAGTCTGAGCTGAGTGGTGCCTGAGTCTGAATGGAGTGACCCACTTGCTGAAAGCAGGACATGCTTTGTGCTTCAAATTTGTTTTCTCATCAGGCTAATGGAGTTATTTTTGGTATGCAGCTATAGATGGATGTAGAGCTTGCATGATACAATAAATAGCTAGTACATGGTGATGGTACTCAAGCAGTCTGTTGATGTCAGAAATGTAATGATTCTTTAAAATCTTTATCTGCAATTTAATTTATCTCTAAGATGCTTCATGTCAGAAACTCCTTGTCCACAGCCACCTGGATGTTGGCTATTATCTTGTTTGTCACATATACTTCAAGTTCTCAGACAATGTTGTGTTGAAATGAGAGGACATGACCAAAAGCACAGTGTTCATTTATACAGCTGTAATAACTTGAAAGAAACAAACAGTGAATGACAAAGAGAAACAGAGATCCATGTTCTCAGGACAGCACTAAAGCAGCATATGCAGGACCTTGGCTGGAGCTGCCTAACTGGTTTTCTGCCTGTCTTCTGCAGCCAAAACTTGGCGTTAATAGTAGAAGTGTTTGTATTAATTCATTTCTGAAAACATTTGGAGGAATGGTGCTCCAAATTGCGGGTCTTTTCCATGGTGCCAAACAGGCTGCTGTAAACAAATACAGGTATTTAGCTGGAAAAGAAGTTGCTTGGTACATTTGTTTCCCGTGTATGCTTCTTGCCCTTGCACATTAGCATCGCTGTGTCCACGCTTGGCCTTTGCCGCTGCACTTGCGTACAGTCATGCTCTGGGAAGGGCAAAGTGCTGAGTGAGTGTTGTCCTCTGCCCTGTGGTGGGATTCCGGAGGGAAGTGACTTGTTGGCACTGGGGCAGTGTAGAGACCTGTGATTGCTGTTGTTCTGGGGGTGCAGCTGAGCCAAGCTGTGTGACAGCGACTGCACTGATGAAGGAAGGAGCTCTCCATCTGCCTGGCTGCGCAGTGCAAATAAGAAGATTGATTATAAATAAACTGGGAAAACAGAATCCTTGCTTCATTTAGACATATGTTTTAAAAACGATTAGCAAGGGCCTGTCTTGTACCAGGTGTCCTAGCACTGATTATCATAAGCTTTAACTTTTTTCCTGTCTTCCAACACACCTTTATACTTACTCCATGTGCTCTTTTCCGTTCAAGCCTTGGCCCTTGCAGCCTGGAGCTCCTTTTCCTGAAGAGGAGCAAGGTGAGGTAAAGAGTTGTCTAGAACTGTTTGGCAGAGCCAGGCACTGAACACCAGCTGGTTTCTGCTGCTGGATGGAGAGTAATGCTGATTTCAGCTCCAGGGGAGCTACTGGTCTTCTGCAAGAAAAGACCAAAGCTGTGGGGAGTCCTTTTGTGTAGTCCTTTGGGAGTTTTCACCAGCCAGGACAGAGAGAGAGGCTCAGAGGATGTCAGCACTTGGAGTAGGCTGCAGAGCATCCTTGGGCTGACTGTGTCTTTGTCTTCTCACCCACGACTGAACAGATTGCTTCCCTTGTTTAGTTTTAGTTTTTTTGGTTTAATGTGGGTATCTACTTGACCTAACAGTGCATCTTCTAAGAGCACATCTACCACAAATGCCCACTTAGAGACCAGTGGGCTTCCTTCCACTGTCCCAGCAGACCTTATGCAACACATTGGAGCATCTGGGCTGAGGGCCTCTAGGATTGTTATTTTCCTATTCATTTTATGAACATAAAATATCTTAAACCAGAGGAGTTTAGCACAGTTTTGCTGCTGAGCAACCTAATGCAGCAATCAAAGGAGAAGCAGTGACCTTGGAATTCATTTAAATGACTTTTTCATTGGCCTTGAGAATTTAATGACAAGCCTCACAGGATTATTGAAAGATAGGATAAATAATCATAGGAGAGATGAATTGATTTGCGCTATGTAGCTCTGACACGTAATTCGTATCTCCTCTTTTCTGCAATGGTAGGTGGAAGGAAGCTGTAGCACAAAATAGCGAATTTCTCAGGAAGATGGCCAGAGAAGCATTGTTTATCGTGAGAGAAGCTCTTGGGATTCGTTGTCCCTCTTTCAGATTCAGTTCAGTGCAGTGGTTTTTTTTCCAGGCTGGCGTATCATGCTGTCCTCTGTTAAGAGCAGAACAAGCATTGCATGATAAAGGTTTGAGGACTTCAGTTTGCATTTGAGTGCCTTTAAAGACCTGATCTTGCTTCCCCTTTATTTTAAGCATGAGCGAGTTAGCTTTGTGGCAGTCAGTCGTGCTGTGTCTGTGTCATGTTCATGAAAGAACCCAGAACAGTGACATTTCATAGTCTGAATATCTTTCTCTAAGTATTACTTGCATGAGTTTCATGTGCTTTGGATTGTTTTGTATTTTGTGGGCAAAGGATGCCTAGCTTGCTTGGGTTTGTTTTTATTTATTTTCTCCGCCTAGATTTGTGAAAACTCTGTTTGTTTGATACTTTCGGTTGATCAGATCTAATATTAATGATTGTGGAATATAGTGTAGATCATGTGGATATCGTATCTAGAGCACAGTATGAAGCTTGCTCTGGCTGGAGGACACACTGTGTAAAGCTCACCAAGGTGAAGTTATTCCTGCAAAAAAATAATTTTTTTGGTACGAATTTGAGCTAGCTAATTCACAGGGATTTCCAAGTACCTCAGCTGGGACTTGAGATGCCTATTGTTTAGAAGTGAGGAAGAGCACAAAATTAATAAAGTTCCCTGCTCTTAAAAGGAGAAATAAATCAACTCAGGCAGATGTCAAAGGGAACTGTCAGCCTCTTCCACAAAGCCATATGCCTGCAAGTTTTCTGTGGGTGGCAAATAAATCATTTTGCCAGCCTCTTTCATGCTCTTAACCAAGATAAGCCATGCTGAGACAGTAACTCTTCCTCAGCCTTTTCCAACTTCTTCCAGAATTCAGCTCTGAACTTGTCACATCGGCTTGTTCGCACGCGCTCCCGCCAAACCAAACCAAAGCCACCTCCTCCAGCTGAGATCCCCTCATTCTGCTGCTGCTGCTGCTGCCACATTAAAATGTTAGGTTTTTCTCAGAAGAAGGACGTGGGGCTTTTTAATGCTGTAGTCACTACGCACATAACTAAGCGATGTGCACCTTAGCTGGTGTTTGAACTGGAGTTTGGTCTGGCATCAGCCCTTTGGGTATTTGCTGTAATTCTCAGGTGGGATTTGCAGTCTTTACTCAAATGTTTCCACTGTGTTCCGTAAACATGCTCTGAAAACATTTCATGGTGTGCTGTCGTGGTTGGAGCTCTGCTGAAGTCCCTGTTTGCTGTGCTGAAGTTACACCTGGATGTCCTCTCGTGTCTTGGCTGTGAACACTCTGACTTGTGCCGTATAGAACGTGGTTGTCTGGTTGAGCTCAAGCCCAGGTTTACATCTGCTGGCTTTGGCAGTCATCCCATTAGAGGGAATAAAAGCAGTGCTGAGACTGAGTCATGAGTGTGCTGGGTTTTTTGTTTGGGAGTTGGGGCAAGGAGGGGACTGACCTGGAGACCCAGCGTCGCACCGGAGGTGCTGAAGCGTAACTGGACTTCGTGGCAGGACCCTCACCTGCTCCTGAAAGTTCAGCTTGCCTGGAAGCAATTGCACTGCCTAAAAGCAGTTTAATTTACACCCAAATAATTTATTTTAAATCTGCTTTTCTCGCTCATGCATTCGTTTTACTTTATTGTAATGTCAGCACTTAGCAGTGAAGTAACGGCAGATCTCTGGAGAACTTCGCACAAGCGAGAAGGCACCATTATCTCGGTTTTACAGGCCCTGCTTATGTTGAGAACATATGTGGTGGTGTAATTACACTGATGTGATTAAATCAGTGCAAATCCTCGCTAGAGGGATATGCTGCACCACTGTAAAGCGGGGCTTATTATCAGTGCAGTTTAATTCAGATTACATTACTCAATTAAGCTGTGCTACTGTAAGCCTCAGCTTAAATTCAGGAAGTCACGTGAGGGCCTGTGTTGTTTCTTTTTAAAGCAGATAAAGATTTGGAAACTGAAATGGGTGAGGTTGTGCCTTGCCCAAGAGCATACAAGGCGAGATGGGCATGAGAAACACCATGTTTATGGTACTTACTGGGAGGAAAGAGGCTTGGGTGCAAATTCAGGGCTTTTATTTTTTAATAGATTATTTGATTAAGCTACAGTGACCACTCTGGAAAAGATCCTAAATCATACGTTTAAGTAAAATGCATGCTAAGTTCAAGTAAATCTCTACCACTTGAGTTTGTATTTTGATAATCGCTAGATGGGTCAATGAATAACCATGGTGTGTACAACTTAATTGGATTTTTTTTTTCTGGCAGGGTGTGGACACTGTAAGAAAATGAAGCCAGAATATGAGAAGGCTGCAGAGTTCCTCCATGTAGCCAGTGATGTAAGCTAATTTCCTTTATTATAGCCTTAAATAATCAGCAATAAATAACTGGAGTAATAAAAGTGACTTTTCTCCTTACAACAAATTCAGCTGTTCTCATCCTCCCACAGGACCCTTCAAAATGTGCTTCCAAAGTACAGTCTCATCGCTAATGCATGAGCCCTGCCAAAGTCTTAGAAAGAACATTCTGTCTTGAACGAAAACAAAATCGAAAAATGTTTATGTATTCTGCTGTAGGCCTTATACATAATATGATCAAATCCAAAGTGGATTTTTTTTTCTCTTACTTAATGGCATCGAATGTGAGGAAACATAGGCTTTTATTTATGAATTAGATTTGGAAAGCAACAAAAGGGGTTGATCCCTCTTTCAAATACCCTGATTTTATGGTTGTATCACTCCATTAATTTCATCTTAAGTGCTCCATCAGCATGGCTGGAGACGAGAGATCCAATAATATAAGTATTAGTGTTATTGATTCAGTCTCACACTGTGTACTCCGTGCAAGAAAAGAAGTAGAATTAGTCTCCCCCATACTTTAAGCATCCTTACTGGAAACATCTAGAGTCCCTTTGTGTAGTTGTTGGAGAAGGAGGAGATGAGAAAAACAAAGATCAGATGATTCACGCTCTACAATTGTCTCTTCTGCTGTGACTCTTAACGGTGGTCCATGTAAAGAAGCCTGCAAGTTATGGAAAGATGAATTTGCTTTTAAGTAAGCTTGCCTATAGCAATGCCTGTTTCTTTTGGAGAAATTGGAATTTGTGGGAGGAAGTGCTATTCCTGGGAAGAGCTCTTAAGCATTGTAGTGGGAAACCTGTGAGAAATGGGAGGAGAACAGGTAACACTCGGGTTACATTTAGTCCATAAGATGCCCATCCCTGGCTTTGCATCAATCTTTTGTGTGTCTGTGCCTTGTATCTGAGAAAGAGAAGGCACCTAAATCATGAGTGATTGCCCTTAAGTCCACTGTTTCCTGCCAAAGGGGTGTGTATATGTTTCTGGATCTTATAGTTGGTGGTTTCTGTTTTAGAGTCCAGGTGTCCTTGCAGCAGTTGATGCTACCGTTAACAAGGCGCTGGCAGAAAGATATCACATCTCAGGGTTTCCTACCTTAAAGTATTTTAAGGATGGAGAGGAGAAATACACTCTGCCACACCTCAGAACAAAGAAGAAGATCATCGACTGGCTGGCAAAGTAAGTACTGAGGGCCTGAGATAGTATTTGGGTACCTGATTACTGGCTCCTGAGGACTGCTTTGGTGGGGAAGTAAGTCTTAAACCTAGCTTCATCGACTGCCTAAATCCCTTGCTAACAAAAACAAATTGAATTCCAGTATTCAAAGCCATACAAACATGTATGTTAATTATGGTCTCTAATACACCAAATCCTTTATTTGCTGCGGGGTTTTTCATAGTTGTCCCCGTAATTCTTTCCCAAAATAAATATTTTTCAAATACACCCTAAGCCTCTCATCGGTGAATGAATAGCAATAGCTCTGAAAAATAAACAGAATATTTGTTGTTCCTTCTTTATACTAAGCAGCAAATTTCAGTGTTAGTAACTGAATTTCTGCAGTTGTACTTTTCTCTTTCCAGCATTTCAGAGCCAGTGCCTAGAATACCAGCTACGTGAGGCTGAGGGAAGGCCAGCGAGACCAACAAAACCAACACCTTTGTCTGCACTAACCAACTTTTCTTGAGTGATGTGCTAAAATATGCAGAACTAAGTACGGTGAAAATAATTTCATTTCAAAGGAGTAAATAGCTGGTATAATTCTCTCTTAAATTTTCTGGAATGAAATATGCATTTCCTTTAGGTACTTTAAGCTTAATGTATTTTCTGCGTTATTCAATGGCAAAGAATAGCCACTGTTTTGTGGAGATTTTTTAATCATTTAACTATTAATGCAGTTGAGACGAGGAGTATAATCTTAATTTTTGTTTTGTTTGATGGTGGTGGAGGGAGGAGTGTGGGGGGTTGTGTTTTGTTTTTTTCTTTTGTTTTTAAATTACATCTGAGTGCTTCAGATGACGTAATAGGCAGCATTTCTGTGGTGTGTTACAGAGTACTTCTTGGCCTTTCAGCACACTCGGGCTCCAGGCTCTGTCGATACTGGATGTTAAGCCACTGTCCTAGTTTCACCAGTTTGCTGGAATATTTTGAGCACTACATAAGTTAAAGAGATTGACACTGCCTGTACATATTGGCAGGTGAATAATCGGCAAGGGAGAGGGAAGGGGTGTTAATCCCTTCTGGATCCTGCTGTGCCTCTGGAAGACTTGTGTGTGCAGCCTCATGTAGTCAGCAACACAGGGGAGAATCAGACGACTTGTCTCCTGCTCTTGACTGCTGGATGTTCTCCCAGCTAAAGATGCAATAGAGTTAAGATCCTTGTTTGCTGACCAGGGATAAAATTGTCACAGCTGCACTAAGTTAGTGGAAACAGGGATTCATCTGGGGTGCAGGCGGGAGATAAGAAGCACAGCTTATGTAAACCTGCCCCCACGAGTGGTCTGGTTGCTCCACTGTGTGGGTCTTGGCTCCGGTCCCTCTGTCGTGACACACTGTGACCAGTATCTGGGTAGCTTATTGCAGGTCGTCACGGGAAGGGTTGTGTGAGATGAAGTCACACCTCTGACTGTAACTGTAATCGATGATAGTTCACACCAATGGTGTTCATGTGAAAGTTCAGACCAGCTGCCCTAATTCTTTTGCTAACAACTGGCAAATCAGTATCGATGGAAATGCAATGGATGTCCACCAAGTGACCTTGAGTAGGACTTTCAAAATCAAGTTTTTCTCCACTTGGTTTTTATGTACCTGATACAACTTTAAATGGTGTCATTCAAAGTGACAGGAAAGTCTGAAAAGCTAATTTATTACCAAGGCGACATATGAAGGTCTTTATACTGTGGCACCATTCTGATGATTTTATATAAGTAATCACTGTTTAAGATAATGAATTTAATGAGTCTGAGAGAAGCCTGTGAGCTGGCGAATAGCACAAGTTTTGTAAGAGGCGCTCTATATGTGCGGGATTGCTCTGATCTAGTCAGTATGTGCAGTCATAATTGAAACCTGACATTCTCTTTATCAAGGTAAAATATTCCAGTTCAGTCACCCCCAGTCTTCCAAGTGGAACGATGCTGATTATTGCGTCCTGACTTTAATATCTGAATTCAAGAGAAGGTCATGAAATTCTTTATAGAAGTTTGCATGATAGCGACAAAGAGTACAAAAGGGAGATTTGAATGGAAGATGCTGTCCTATATTGGTTGCCTTTTGATTCCACCTGCTTGCTGTTCTTCTCATTTCATACCTATGGTTGACACAGCGATACAAGAGCAGTGTTCTTTCCACCCAGATGTTGGATTCAGTGTGGGAAATCTTCGTTCTGCTTTACTTATTCCTACTGATATGTCTTAAATCACATGTTTATTGAGTTACAGAAATTAACTTGCATCTTTTTTGTTGTTACCTAGTGTTGGAAATATCAAGCACGTTTTTCCATTGCACAGGCACCCTGAAAGACTGTTCGACCTCAGTTCCCTCATGGTGGTTATGACCAGAATGTGATGCCCCTTTGCCTGCTTCCAGAAACATTTTCAAACCAATGTAATTTCTTTTCTTTTCTAGTCCTGAAGCACCACCTCCACCTGAGCCCGCATGGGAAGAAAAACACACTAGTGTTATCCATCTTGCTGGAGAAGACTTCAGGGAATCCTTGAAGAAGAAGAAGCACACCCTTGTCATGTTCTATGCACCATGTGAGTAAATACATCTCTGTGTGGATGGGTTTTATAAAACCTGCAGTTTATGAAATCCTGAATTAATTTCCTCACTGTCGCCAGCCTTTTAAGTGTAAAGAGCTGATTCTGAGTATAACTGCACGGGACCATTATTGGCACCATAGTTTATGTCTTTATAAATGGAAACAAAACAGTATACAGTGTTTATTTAAAGAGTTATTGCGTTAATGCAGACACCAAAGCAGGCAGGGGTACAAAAACAAAGCAGATCTATTTTCCTCTGCTGCATTTTATGGTCCATATAACAAAATGTGATCCTTTATCGTGGCACAATGGACACTGAGAGCCTGACTCATTAGTGCCGCACTTCAGTAGTGAAATCAATATAGTGGTGTGGGAGGAATCAGTCCCCAGAGGCTGAGAACAAATTTTTATGGAATAGATTTTGTCTGTAATAAATCCACATTTAAATCTACACTGGGAATATGGGCACAGCTTCCTCCTCCCAGATTGTTTTGTGTGCATCCCATGCACACTTTCTGGTTTGAAGCTCTGAGAATATTTCTAGAGGAGTTTTGAACCAAGCCCTTTATAAATTATAAATTAGGTGAATAGGAAGGACCTGTTCGGTTTTCCTGTATTGTTCCAGAGACAGATGGACTTGGTACAGGTTCTTAACTTTTGAGGGGCCTGTCAAAGGGCGAAGATAGTCCTAGTAACTTGCATTTATAGCCCCCTGAGATGCAAGAAGAATTCTTCCCTACCACATGACCAGCACTGCGAATCCTGGATAACCCTTCAGATAAGCAGTTACTAACTTGTTCCCATTAAACTGAAGGTATTTTCCAGAAACAGGGAAAAAACTCAGGTCCTTAATGTTTAATCAGGCTGATCCTTATTTTGCTTTTCTGTTAGAGAATTAAACATGAATGCTTTCTGGGCTCCCATGAAGCCCTGCTGGATGTGGGAGAACGGAGGGGTGCAATTCAAAAGGGAGATTTCTGGAAGGTTGTGAAAGAAAAGGGAAGGGGACTTAATCTCTTCTCAAGTCCAGTTCCCACCACCTATTGACTAAAAATAGCCTGTGTGCCAGGAATTTCTGATTCATATACCTCAACTGGTTACGAGCAAGCCTTAACTTTAAAATCAAACAATTGCACACGAAATGGTAAGATTGAGGAGTTCATAGTTTCTTGAGTTCTCTTTACCCAATGAGTGACTTTTTATGGAAGAGGGAGATTTATTTCCCCTTTGGTTTTTACCTACATCGTTTTAAGGCACTCAATTTCTTGGTCTTTAAGGTCACTTTTAAAGCAAAGATATTATGTGCAATGAGCATGTAACTCTTGGGTTTGAAAACATGAGGCAATTTGCCTGATGGGCTACTTAAAGTACTGTTGTCTGCAGGTTGACTTCTACCCTTAAACTAGGAGGGTAGAAAAAAGATCAACCTGAACTTGTCTGCACAAACGGGCTGTAAAAGCAAAGCTCGCGCGATGCAAGACTGTTGGGTCCTTTGAGGCTACCCTTCAGAAACATTGTTCTTGCACTTTTTTGGATACAGTGCTGGACAAGACCACCTGTATACAGGACAGAGAGATGTTAGCTGGAACCACTTCTGACCTTCCCGTGGCACCTAAGACAGCATTGCTGTTGTGTTGTCAGTCTGTGGGTCGTACACAGTGTCTGATTTGCCAGATTTCGTCTCTCTGAATGGGGAAGTGTCTGTGTGCAAAGCGGAAGGCAGGTACACAAGGGGGATGCAGCAAGCCTGCCCTTTGGGTGTAGGAGAGAGTAGCAGATAAGTATTTAAAATCTCTGGTTTTTTGTGAAATAATCATTAATGCAATAGAATGGTACACATCATTCTATTTTTCAGCTTTTCTGCAGTGGTAATGTGCTTCCTGCTAAATTTGATAGATTAGCTTTTGTTTACCATTTCCTCAATCTTGAGACCTTTTGGAGCTTAAATTGCCTATTAGTCTTAACTTGCTTATTTTAGTGCAGAAGGAACATTGCTAAAATTGCCAGGCCCTATTATCTCAAGTAATTTTCTCTTCAGATCCACATTGTAGGTCAGTGCAGACTCACAGTATGTTACTCCATTCACTTGTGACTCTATGACAGTATTTGTTACACTTACACATATGCTGAGATATTTTAAGATTGGGGATGTGTGTATACATGCATATATAAAGTATGTTTATATATAAATATTTATACTAAGAAATGTATCTCTCATCTGTCATTCGAATTTAAAGCACAAAGTTGAATATTCTGACCTTTGTAAAGCTTTCAGCTAGAGTGACAAACCTTTAGGCAAAGGCCACAGATATATATCTTACATGCAAATTAAAATGAGATCTGGCTTTTCTGTGGCAGCTTCCAGCCCAAATTACTTAATACCTATAGGAGAGCCATCAATCTGCTGCTGTGTCTAACTCTGGACTGAGCTGAGCAGTGCTTTAATGGTACTGAACAGCACTTCACAGTGATTTAGCTCTGGAAGAGAAGGCCGCTACATCCGCATGGAAAAGATGGGGAACTCATTACTCCATCATACTGAACGTGGATGAAGTTTAAAGGTTATTCCAGGTGCCTGTGGAATATTATAAGGACTGAGAGTCAGAATCAAAACTCTTGATATTACTGGGAAAAAAAGTCGCTGCTGTGGACTTGAGAGCACAAGGAGTGAGCTTCTTGATTTCACATTCCCATTCCTCCCCAACGGCATTTCTGTGCACTGTCGTGACTGATTTGGGGCAGGAGACGGCAGCACTGACTTTGGGCAAAAGTGCCAGCTGCAGAGAAGCTAATGTTATTTGTACCAGTAACTGCCTTGGACTTGATCTTCATCTGGGTGTCTGCTGGTTAGGTCTGTGCCCTCTAGGGCCACCAGGCTCATACTGCAGGCTGGCACTTCTCTGTGCTTCTCAGGGCTAGCACTGGTGCAGGCTGCTGGTGTCTGTGCTGTGCCACACCTGGCCCAGCCCTTCTCTGGACCCTCATGGGGCTCATGTGGTCCTAAGGTGTAATCGTCATCCCACTCCCTTTTCTCCAAGTTCAAACCGCCTAAAGTAAGAAGAGGACAATGATACAGTCTGCTGAAGTGAAGTATGATGCCACAGGTGTGTGTTGTGTCCTGTGGACTGCCAAGGTGGAGGTTGAGGAGCATTTGAAAACAGTAGGCTTATTGCACCAGCATTTGAGAGGTATTTTGGAAAGGTTTATGGGACCTGTGACTGTATTATCTCCATAGACCAGTCCTTGGAGTACAGGGTACCATCAACTGCTTCCGGGTTTCCTTCTGTAACTACTTGGCTTTGTCCAGAAATAGGGAGGGGAGGCACCTGGTCTGGATATGGTATGGTGTATGCACATCGTCTGGCATGAGGATGATCAGGATATGGGAGGCTGAGGACCAAATTAGAAAGTGGACAAGAATAGATCCAGCCTTGCCCAGCTAGACTGCAGTGCTTAACCAGCTACAGCCAGAAGTACAGTAGCTGAATGCCCATGGTCTATGTCCAGAGCTTGTTTCAAGACTCAACATTAAATGCTGAACATCCTGGACTAACTGATTTGCATCAGTACCGCTTCTGGGATAAATGCATTGACTTTTCTTTCTTCTTTCTCTTATGTACTCACTGTTTGTTCATATAGCTTATCTGAATGTGTTTTATCTGCATTTTTGCTTTTATGTGCTCTCTCCATTCCATTATCCCAGATAATTGAGATTTTACTTTGCCAATGCATTAAATTTTAACCTCCTACTACTATAACACAGAAAACTGTGCAGAATAGAAGCAGTTGGTTGTGATTAGCTGTCAGAATCACAAAGGGCAACCAAGTTCCTGTAAATAACATGTCTTCTCAGTTGGAGATGTTTTTGCTGCATTAGTCAAACAATTAAGGAGGAAAAAAAAGTGTGACTGAAGCTAGGTGAACATTTTTCAGTGAGACGGAGAGAGATGCAGATACTTTTTCAGGAGTGTTCTATGTTTTTAACCCAAACTTCTATCTGGAGAAGCCCTTGGAGTCTTACATGAATTTTCTTGCCAAGCCAATGCAAAGACCCATATGAAATTAACGACCATCACATTTAAACTCACAGGGTTCCCTCTTTCACCTTGATCATCCCTGGGCTTTAGTGTGCCTTTTGATGTCATATTTTGGTGATGTGGCCATCAAGTTTTAGCTATTCCTGAGTGATGCTCCCTCAAACTTATACTACGTCTTTTCTGCTCTTATAGAAACAATTCAGAGCTGGAGACACAGACTTCATAGACAGACATCCCCCATTGTGCTGGGCAGAGCGTCAGCAGCAGGTCAGGGGAGCTGATCCATCCCCTCAGCACTGGTGAGACGCAGTTGGATTGCTGTGTCTAGTTCTGGGCTCACCAGTACAGAAGGGACACTGATGTGCTGGAGCGAATCCAGTGAAGGACTGTGATAGTGGTGAAGGGTCTGGAGCATCTGGCATTTGGGGAGGGGCTGAGAGAGCTGGGACTGCTCAGCCTGGAGCAGAGGAGGCTCAGGACGATCTTGGCAGTATGCATAGGTGCCTAATGCAGGAGGTAAAGATGACAGAGCCAAACTCTTATCTGCAGTGCCCAGGAACAGGACAAGAGGCAATGGGCAAAAATATAAACACATGAAATTTTGCTTAAATGTAAGAGGAAGTGTTTGTTTGTTTTGGATACTGGAACAGATTGACAGGAGAGGGTATGTGGAGTCCCCATCCTTGGAGATACTCAGAACCCAGCTGGACAGCCTGCTCTAGTTGATTCTATTCTGAACAGGGGAGTTGGACTAGATGATCTCCAGAATTGCCTAGAAACACAGTGCTGTGTTTCGAGGAATAGTAACATTGAAGTTTGGAATACACGGTGATTTTCTTAGTTTTATTTTGGAGTTTGTTTTTGTTTTCTTGGGTTTGGTTTTATTTTTGTTTTTCTTACCCTTCCCATTGAGTTCAGATTTTCTCTAAAGACAAAATGCTTAATAACACCCCCTAC